AAAAAATGTTAATTATTTTTTAAATTAATAAAAATATGGTTTTTAACACTTTTTTTTTTTAAAAATAATTGTAGCGTTCCAAGTGACCCTCCACAAATGATTAAATGCAATCTGCGTTTGAAAAAAACGCATGTTCCAAGCCACCCAAAACTCCGGGTGACTTGGAACAAGCACTTTTTATTTTATTTTTACCTTAATTTACTTAAGAACATTATTTTTTTTTGCTCAATTTATTCCTTGGAGGTATGCGACACTGCATGATTTTTTTACAAAATTTAATTATCAATAATGAATGTGTTACAGTAGTTAAAAGGTCAAAATCGTTCCAAGTCACCCGGATTGACGGTATTATAAAAGATATTTTTATGTGTTTTTATTTTTAATGATATCGACATCGTATCATCGTATCAGTGTTTCTAAAATTAATGAGGTCATTACTCATTAGCATATAAACATGAGCGTACTAACCCTCTGTGCAATATTTTGTTACAAAAACATTTCAGGGAAGTTTCAAATCAACATGTAACGTTGCATTATTTGTTGCTTTTGCGTTACCATCAACATCTACGGTACCGCTAATGCCCAAATTTTATAACGTCACATGTTGGTTTCATAAACGCAAATGTAACGTGTTTTCTAACATCTAAAAAACATCGTAATAACTACCATGCGACGTTACGTATATTACCATTATTGGATGTTACATAGACGTTATTTTTAACATAAATGTGTAACCATAATATTATTATTATAAAATAACAAAAAAATAATACCCATCTAAGAGATTCGAACCACGACCCCCGACGTCCGTAAAGACCTAGTAATTATGGGGACCTTAAACCTACGCCTTACACCCTATCGCCTAACCTACTCTGTTGAGTAATAGGTAAAATTGATGGGATTTAAAGAACAATATTTATTTTATATTACATAGGTACTAATAATTGTTTATGACCTTATGAATTTTGAGTTTATGACTTAGATATTTGTATTCGTTGCAACAATTTTCAAAATTCATTAGTCATAACATAATAAATACATGTACCTACCTTTTTATAAATTAATAAGTATAATTCATGTAGGTATCTAGGTACAATTCAATTTTATTTTTTAATACTTGGGGAAACTGACTCGACCGACTTCAAATTTTTTGTTTAAAAACCTTAAGTATGTACTATTGTCTATTTGTACTTATTATTAGAAAATTGTTATTTCTCATTAGGTACCAATTGTGCATAGTTAGGTAAATAAATAAAGAATAATAACAAATAAAACAGTTGTATTAATGAAAAAAAAAATTAAATAACAATTGAATTATATTTTTATGTTTAAGTATAGTTAATAGTCATGACTTAATGTTATTATAACTGCTTTACAAACAGACAGTTGTAAACAAAAACATTTGCATTTAAAATCATTTAAAAAAACAACAGTATAATATGATTGATCAGTTGATAGAAAATCAAAATCAACAACAAAAGAACCAATATCTCTTGAGGATAAGTTAAAATTAGACAAATTAAAAACTTCAGAAAGATTCAACATTTTTTGGACATTAAATTTTATTTCATTATTACCAAATTTTATTATATTATTTATTATAACCAAATCTCCATTTTTTAACATGACACATTTATTATTAACAGAATTAATGTTTAATAAACAGTTTTCATGCAAAATTACTCTTTCATAAGCTATTTCACTAACATTAAAAGAATAATTTTTATTGAGTTTTTCTTTTTGAAATAGTGGATATTTTATTTGACTTTCAGTAGAACTATTTATTTGGTTGTATTTTTCAATAATCCTGTTACTAACTTCTTGTAAAGGATATTTGGCACATTTCATACTTTTTTTTAATTCTTTAAGATAGTTTTCATACCTAAAAGCACTAAACGAATCAAGTGGACCATGTTTTTGAACAAAGTAAGGCAAATGAATAAGGTTATGGACATTGTAAGTAATAAATTCGGATCCATATAAAATAGCATAGTCGTTGATAAATTTTTCTAATAAAATCCTTGCTTTTTCATTATATAAAATGCAAGTCTCTGGATTAACTAAAAGCCTTATTGCGCTAAACAAAAGTAAAAAATGCTGATAAAATCTTTTTTGTAATTTTCTAGACAGCAGTGCACACTTCACGACACAAGTTATACCAATCAGTGATCGTTTTGTTGGATCTTTCAGTAAGTTCAGCCGCCTGAGTGCTCGGTATTTCGATGGCAAACATGAACACTATTTCCATAATCTCGCTAAGTGTTAGATTACATGTTACCCTGTTATTGAGGTCCGTAAAGTGAAAAAACTCATTTCCTTGACGTACTAAACGGAAAGTTTGACAACGTTTTTTTGGGCAATTGAATATAGGCACAAATTCACCATTACGGTTCTTCCGTCGTTTTTGACACATCTCTGTGCCACACTTAAGGCAAGGGTCAATATTATTCACATCTTTTAAAAGTTGGTATTCTCGTAAGAATGCAGTGCACGGCTCTGAACTTGCAACACGAATATAAAAATCTTTGAGAAGCATAATCTAACAAAAACAAAAAAATGACGGAAGTAGACGAAACTAATGAAAATAATGACGGACAAGGACTACTTGTGCCGTCGAAATTGGAAAGTACAATAAATTATTATCGACTATCGGAGACGAAATAAAAAAAAGAATAATATAATAATAATAATAATAATAAGTAATAATGTAGTAGAATTTGGAAAATATTAAAAATCCGTAGGCATGTTTTTTTTTTGATAAGGGTTTCAAGATCAAAGTTTGACAAAAATTTATTAAATTATTGAAAATTTACAGAATATTTAGTTGTTAAACATTTATAAAACGTTCAACTTCTATAGCTAAATATTGAAAATTAAAAACAAGGTTTTATGTAAGTAGTTAACAAAAAAATGTTTAAAACTATCAAATACAGTTTTAAAAGTTTTTAAACTTCTTTACGCAGGGTAGTGAGGGAAAAAAAGCGAACGGGCAGCCGTACGGACGCAAACACGGACATGTCGTTGTGCGCAACCACGGATTGTCGTAGCTGTATTTTGTAAACGGCTATGGGTTTTTGGTTGGGTTATTAAACAGAGAAAACTCAACAATAATATTAATGAGATAAATATTTAGACAAAAAGGGGATGATGTCCGGGATGATTTCATACGGTGTCGGGGCGGCGGAGCGAAGCGTATCAGTACGTCATGTACATAATATTACGTATTATAAATTATAAATTATAATGTTGGTCGGTGACAGCCGATGCGGTTTCGACGACGACGATGACGATGATAATAATAATATCATACAAAAGCAGTTGCTACTTGCGATTAAAGGTCAAGGTCGTGCGGCGAGGCGGTTAGGTTAGGCTCGATAACTGAATAATGATCCAACAATATCGACTATTAAATCAGGCACAACAATCGCTGCAATTCTTACGCGATATATGGATAATGTTCAGTCGCAAATGTACGTTTCCTATTTTAGTCATCATATGCCAATCATAACTACTATACCGATTGACCAAAATGATAATCAATCATTAGCATAAAAAATAATAAAAATAATAAAAAAAAATATAATTTACATTGTTTCTTTTCTTTCTTTATTATCCTCATTACTCCAGTCTATCCATGAATTTCTTTCTTTTTCACTCACTCACATGTACCTACCGTTCAAAAGAAGTTTAACTTCCCGCGCGCGTATACTGGTAACTAGGGTTGCCACCTTTGAAAGAAAGCAGCCCCAGAGACAGGCCGATAAGCAAAAAAAAAGGTCATCAGCTAGACGCTATTATACACACCAGTACGTAGTATAATCTATAATCTATAGCTTAGTTGAAGTGAAATGATAAGTAATGAAATGCAAACAAAAAAATATTTATATAATCAGTAATCACATATTTTATCATTCAAAATTACAAATCATATTATAAAAATATGATTAAAAATCACAAACAAGAAAAATTATTTAAGTTTAAAATCATATTTAACATTATTTGTTGCACATTTCAATAATTTTTACCGGAAACTAATAAAAAAAAGGCATAATAATAAAAACAAGTCTATTTAAGACTATAAATCGTATGTTATCTTATCTTTATCTCCGACCCGGAGAAAAATTATCTGAACCCGGAGCCCGTAGATTTATACGTAAACCCGGATTCTCCGGGTGAAACCCGGAGAGGTGGCAACCCTAAGTGGTAACACATACACTGGTTTTTTTTTTTTATAGTTTTTTAAGTTCAAATTTGGATGATATTAAATATTATTATTTAATATATAAATAGTACTAATAAAAGAATCACAATTTTAGTTATAGGTATTATTGTAATTTGTGTAATTTGAAAATATTATTTGTGGATACTTTACATTTTTAGAGTATACTTTATATTCTAACTGTAATAGTTTATGTTGTGAATGACTTATATTAATACTTTATAATAAATTGTATATACTATGAATGACTGAGTGAGTCTGGTAGTGGCATAATGAATCTGATTCTATTAATTTGGAATTTATTTTATAGATACCTAAATTTTTTTTGAAACTATAACAACATAACTAATGTAGTATGAAATATCCCTGTCAGACAAATCATCCCCGCTCAGTATCGTTTTTCGTATACAATTATAGTATATCATTGAATACAAATTTAATACTATCAGGGACGATCTCAAAAAAAATCATGGTGGGGGGGTGTAATCTTCAAAATTGCCAACTAGAATTTGAAATTCAAAATTTTTGTGAACTATTATTTTATTTTTAGTTATTATGTAAATTTAAATTTATTTATTACCTTATATTTCAATTCTTAGTTTGAATTAAATTTGAAGTGGAAACTTAGAAATTCCTTACTTATTTTAAATTTATATCAGAATGAAATAACGTCAACAAACATATGAAATAGGTAATAATTACAATTCATCACTTATTATTTATTACCAAATGGTTATAAAATGAGTATTACAGTATTTAAAATTTTAAAAACTATTATTAATCACAATTGAACCTTGCGTTGCTTCAGCATTGCCCATTTGTGTACAGGATTATCGATATCTAAAGTATCTATTATGTCTTTTTCACAACTCAACATCATCAGCTCATTTAATTGTTGATCAGCCGATTTCGACCTTAGGTAATTTTTTATTAATTTTAATTTACTAAATATTCTTTCGTCAGATGCAGTAGTAACCGGATTTGACGATGCTAAATGACAAATTCGATTAGCCCACGGAAGAATTGATTTTAATGTCTCAGATTTTTCAAAAATGTTATTAAAATTTTCTCCATCACATTGATTTAAAGAATTTAAATTTCTGCATGTATTGCATCAATGTCGTGAATTTTCGCACTATTTGTCATTTCGAGAAGTAATTTTACAGCACCCGCCATATTTTCTAATGAACAAGTATAATTGTCAAATGGTTTTTAAAAATATTAAATAAAGGCATGAGTGTTTCAATAGTTATTTTTAAATGCTCATTTGTTAAGTTTATCAGTGTGTCTAATACTTGTTTAAATTCTTTTCGATAAAATAATTTTAATGAGAAGTCTGATTGAGTCATTGGATTAGAATCTATTCTGTTTGGTATCGACCGTTTATGATGATGTTTCTCAAAATCTGCTATTGGATCTAAATTTATTTTTTTTTGAAAATATTAGAGCTGCGTCTATTATAGTCCAGTCCATCAGAATCTTTGTTTATATTTTCAAGCGATTTAATTGTACCCTCTATTAAATTACTTGCATCACCTATATTCAATTTCTTTGCTTCCAACTTCTCTGTGAGTGCTTTGAGTTTATATAATAAATTTTTCATAAACATTATTGAAACAATAAAATCAAATGTTGTTATTTTTTTAAACAGAGCTATTGATTAGCTTTTAGTTTTTCTATCATACAAATTTGAAGAGGAGATTTCTTGCAAAGTGTCAAGAATTATTTCAAACGATATCCAAACTGCTTTAACCGATTCTGCACGAGCCGTCCATCGCGTTTTTGATAAATTGCCCACCACAAGTCACAACCGTCGCCGCATGCCATTGCCAGCATTACTTAAATGCGATGACGGATGACAGAAATAGACGGTTTTTTGATATTCTACTGTATATATGCATGATATAATATTATTATATTGTTATAAGTATGCGTGTTGTTTTGAGCAATGATCCGTTCATTAGAATTTTATCTAATGCCAACTGCTGATTCTCGCAATCTCGCTAAACTTTTGCAAATCTGCTCCATAACCCATTACGAAAATATTGAGTCAAAACAATATTAACAATGTATTTAATTTTCCTTTCCTCGTCTTAAAAAAAAAGGTTTAATCAGGTGAAAATAAATTACATTTTCCAACTGAAAATCAAATATTACCGAGTAGGGGGGGGGTTGTGTAACACCCCCTCATGACCTCCCTTCGGTTCGTCCCTGAATACTATCCATTGCAGTAACCCACTTGTAACCTATTGTGCAGTAGAGCGACATCCACTTAACCACTTTTTTTTAAAAATTAATGCATAAATCATTTTTCAGGGATTTCCTATAGGGTTTGCATAAATGTCCAGAAAAACAGAAAGGGCATACACAGTGCTTTTCAATAAAGTTCTAAGCAAAGTACCAGAGTGGCAACCTCAAGTCATAATAGTTGATTTTGAAAGAGCAGCTTTAGCTGCTATAAGAATAATTTTTCCAAATACCACTATTAGAGGATGTTGGTTCCATTCTACCCATGCAGTTTGGAGAAAAGTTGCAAACATGGGTAATTTTACTCTTAAATCTAAGTTACCTATGTAATTAATGATAAATGAAATGTATAGTCAATAAATAATACTGGTTTTTAATTTTTATAAGATATAATATTTAGGATTGATTGAAGTATGTAGTAACCATCGAGGAGCTTATGATACTGTGCATATGTTGATGGCATTGCCATTGCTGCCACAAAATTGTATAGCTGATGATTTTGAAACTGTGGGGGCATACTATACCAGCATGTGCAGTCATCGATCAGTAATAGTAATGATCACAATTTTTCATTATTATTTGAATATTATCGATCTACTGGCTTGTAGGTTTGTAAAATACAAAATAAAAGTTTTTTTTTTATACAACATACTTTTTCATATAACAAATTCTAACAAATTCTACAATATTGCCAATAGAAATTAATGCAGATATATTGTCAGTGAATGACACTGCTTGGCGAACCAATATCGTGTTGGAAGTAAGTTACCGACATCTTCAGATGCACAAGCAAAATCGGCACAATCCTGATCAATGGATGTTTTTGAGGAATTATATTTTTATTTATTTAACTGTAAAAAAGAAATATACCAGTGTTTTATATTTATAGAGGGACTAATTACTTACTTCAATGGTGTTTTGGTTGATTATAATGAGGCCACTGATGGTGAACAAGTAAGAGAACCTCAACGTCAAGTTTGGATAGATCAGCAGAGAAATTTGGATAGATCCTAGAGGCTGTTTGTAGAAGGACGCTACTCAATGGCAACATTTTTAATATGTGCTAGGCATTCAACACCAACTTTTGGTGTAATACCGCCTCTACATCAAGCAATTGCTATAATTCCTGCAGCTGTGTTTCCACTAACTCCACCTCAAGAAGCACTAGCTTTAAAACCACTCACTGTTGATCAGCATCAGGAACTGCAACTTGTTCTTATACTCCCTGCTACGGGCTGCTACTATTTCACCACAGTTACTACCTCAAGAAGCACCAGCTTTAGTACCACTGAATGTTGATCAGCATGAGGATCTGATTCGCGAAGAAATAATGAGAAGAATTTTACCACGTAGACCACGAATACCTGTTCCTCAAGATCGTATGATTTTTCATTATCTTATTATTTATACAGATTTTCAAAAAAAATATACTAACAAATAAATATTTTGACTCTTTTTTTTCATAATCTCAATTCATCCTATTCAGATGAAGAAGATTTATCTAACCACCAACAGCATGTGATACCATCAGTTATTTAAGTAGAACGTGAAGACTTGACAATTAAGTAATAATTATCCGAAATTTGTTTCTAGCTAAAGTAATTGATTAAAAATAAGGATGTTTTATTATTTTATAGTTACACCAATAGTAGAGGAAAAAATCTATATATGTTTGTACAGTCCTCCAACAGTAGTAGCTTATCCTTGCTTACACCAAGGACTTTGTGGATCTTGTCATGAAAGCTACAGCAGAATACCTCCAAACGCACACAGGCAGTGGCGTAATTTGGGAAAAATATCCAGGGTTGCAAAAGTTACTCGGGGTGCAAAAACCCGCGAGGGCTTTGCCCCCACACCCCCAACATTATAAAAAAATGTTTTAATATAACCATATTATTATATTATATTAACATAAAATACATTATAAATCTAATTATTTTTATATATAAATACTAGTAATTAAAAAATATAATAATGAACAATACAATTTTAAGAATAACAATTAAGTTTTAAAAATTATTAAACTTTAAACGACATGGTATTGTAGATGAGTCAAATTGTTTTATGACTTCATCCTTATTAATATTTAACGATCTTTCACGTTCTATTTGTAAAATTCCTAAATGATTTAATCTAGATTGTCCCATAGTAATTCTTAAATAGTTTTTTAATCGTCGGAGACAAGAAAAGCTTCTTTCACATGCTGCTGAATTTGATGGTATAGTTAAAAAAGGTTTATATAATTTTGCAAATGTCGGAAACCCAACAGCATTATCACCTGACCTCATATATTTTATATTAGATTGGACAGTATTTTCAGTATTCAGACTTTTGTACATCCTGTTAAATATCTTTGTTTCAGACTTGAGCTCACTTTCATTAAAACCATACATTGTACTAACATCTTGATATGAAGTGAACTTGATTGGTTCATTTACTATTATATCTTGCATACAGTTCAAAATATGAATGTCATTTTCATTAAATCTTTCTTTCATATCACTTATTATAGTATCAAGAATTTGGAAGTATATGTTTATTTTATAATGATCTTCAACATTACAATTTTCATTTTGTTTTAAACCTCCACCAAGTTGTTTAGGAACATTTAGTTTTCTACTTAGTATTGGGGAACATATTTCATTACCTATCCTCATAACATTAGCTTTACACCATATCACATCAAATCTATCTTCGCATCGCATATTAGAGAGTTCTTGAATAGTTGCTTTGGTCATATGCTGAACAATAGAATAGTCAATATTAGAACTCTTAAGATACTTAGATACTTTGACAAAATATTAGTAATGGACATAATGTCTCTGAAAACATGTACACAAAATAAAAATTCAAATGTTTTCATTGATTTTAATAATGAATTTGCATCTGACCCATGTATAGAATCATTCTCTGAAATATTTTCCAACGAGTCAATCACAACTTGGTCATTAAATATAAGAGACTCTAAAGCATCTATGCGACAACTCCAACGAGTATCGCTAAGACTTTTCAAAGTAGATGGCCCATCACCCATTTTCATATTTAACTTTGAACGCATATTGTCAAATACAGCTTGTCTTTTAGATGATGCTTTAATGAAATTATGTAAATTACTTAAAGTACCAAATACATTTCTTACATGAGATATTTGTTTAGATAGATCAACAAGACATAAGTTAAGTATGTGTGCATTGCAGTGAACATATGAAGCCAAAGAATTTTCTTCCTTAATTCTTGACTGGACTCCTTTGTAAGCACCTCGCATGGATGCTGCTCCATCATAGCATTGTCCTCTTAAACACTCAAGTTGTAATCCATTAGAATTAAGAACATTTTTTATTAGTAAAGAAAGTGTCAAACCATCAGTACTCTCAACTATATAAAATCCTAAGAGAGCTTCAATTGGGCAAAAATCAGTATTAACATATCTTAAAATAATTGCAACTTGTTCGTGCCTTGATAAATCTTGTGTTTCATCAACAATCATACTAAAAATATTAGCAATTAACACATTATCAACAATATCTCTGATAACAATATTAGCCATATATCCAAGAAACTCATTTAAATATTCACCACTCACATACCGAAAGTTTTTTCTTTTTCAGTAAAAAAACGTCTTATAATATTAATATCTCTAGAACGATGATTTAATAATTCTTGAAAATTTCCTTTATTTTGAGACTCTTCATTTTCTCTATGTCCTCTTATGGCAATACCTTGTCGAGCACAGAAAAGCAAGGTTTCTAAAACACACTTAATATTCCCTATTTTCAGCAACTTCTTGATAATATTGTGTATTAACTTTATTAATTATACTACCAGATTGCTTAGCTTCGTTATATCCAGCTATTTTTGTAATAGATTCTTTATGTGGTACTGATTGTTCATGCTTTGGAAAATATTTAAAACAAGCCTTTGACCACTGACGAAAACCTTCGCTAATAAATGTTATATCTGATTTATTAGACGGAAAGGCACGACAATAAAAACAATATGCTGAATCTTTACTAGGACTGTATTCAAGCCAAGGAAAAGATATGAACCATTTCGATCGAAACTTTCTACCTCCACGTTTTGGAAAATCATAATTTTAGGTTGATACGGACCAAAACCGTTCGATAACAAATAATATGCATTGTCCTTACCTTGACAAGGATCAAGATTTGTATGAATAATAGGTGTACTTAATGTTGACTTGTTGGGACTTTCTACATGTAAAGTATCCAAATATTTGTCTAAAAAAAAAAAAATCATAAAACAAATTATAAATATTTTAATTTTATTTCATCTTTTATTTACCTTTCATTGACATTGTGTTCTTTGAAATTGTATTAGAAGCAGGGCCGTAACAACCAAATATTGCGCCCGGGGCGAAACTTCAAAATACGCCCTTATGTATTTTAATTTATAAAAAAAACTCAACACTGAATATTATTTATGAACGCAATATAAATAATGATTTTGCCTTGTAATTAAGTAAGCGTATGTTAATTTTATTTAAATCAATAACTTATTAAAATATAAAAAGGTATACATAATAATTATAAGAACATAGGTATAACACAATAAATAATAGTATTACTTTTACTTATAAGTAACATTTAAATTGTAATTTTTCTAGCTTTTTTCCCAGCAATGTCTTCAATAAGTTGGTTTATATCTATAGTGTTTACTGATGTATGTTCAATAGATAAAATAGCCATATCAGATATTCGATCTTGTCCCATTGTCGACCTCAAATAGTTTTTTATGAGTTTTAACTTACTGAATGATCTTTCACACGTCGCCACAGTTATTGGCAAACTCAAAAATATGCGTAAAGCTATTTCGACATTTGGATATTCAGCACGCAAAGAATATGTTGTAATTAATTGTAGTAAGGCTAAAGGTGTTGCGGCCCTTAAGGAGTCTAGGACAAAATCCCGCCAGCAATATTCCGCCGGACGAAATCCCGCCGCCTAAATCGCGTTTGGACAAAATCCCGTCGGACGGCATCCCGCTCGGACGAAATACCGCAAAAAGTTCATTGAATTGTTTTGTATAAATTTGTGAGAATAGTGGCCGGGAAAAGGAGAATGTTCCGTCAGCATACCAATGATCACAAGTTGTGAGGAGTTCTAAATTTTCTTTGGTAGAAAAAATCAGTAATCGTTGAGGATCTTCCTTTCCACTGTCATAGAACATAAACGGTTTTTTCCCCGCTGTCAGTAAGTATTTTTCCGGTATTATTAAGTCTTCTAGGGAAGATGGATTAGAGAGGGAAGTTTCTAAGCATACCCTATATCGCCGTACATTGCGTTTTAAAGAACTGATACTGGGTAATACACTAGAAATTCCAGGTGTAATGTCTTGGCAAACATTTGCGACTACAGTATGAGTTGATAATCCTACATCCATAGATAACTGTTTCAATTTAGAAAAAATTCGATTACCACTAATTTTGGCTGGATCAGGTGGGTGGGAATGCACATTCATAACTTTCGTAATTTCTTCACCATTAGTGTGGACTCTCGCGCGACACATAACATTTTTGCTTTCCACGCATTTCCATATTGTTTTATCATTTTTTGGTGGTTTCTGTAGACTGATTTATTAATTTGATGTTACGAATGTCAGAAGTATACTAATATCATAAATTCGGAGATGAAGTACAATAGATCGTACACGCGCGTCAGTTAATTGCGTATATATATTATATATATATACCTATATGGCTATACCGTATACGGATTTCCTAATTATCGTTCAAGCGATAAGCGATAACGCATTACCAGTTCCGCATATATATTATGATATACTTGTATAAATAACAACAATAACCAATACAGATCAGCAGTAGACAACTTTTGAAACAGTTAAACGAATTACGTTATAATGAATTTACGTACAATACGTTTTTTTGCGGGATTTTACCCGGCGGGATTTCGTTCGGGCGGGATTTTGTCCAGACGTGATTTTGGTGGCGGCATTTCGTCAGGCGGGATTTTGGTTGCGGGATTTTGTCCGAACACCCCCTTAAGTCAGGTAAAAGAGAAAATGCTTGAGACTTAAAATCTTTTATTTCAGAGATAAAATCGGAAGAATTTAGATCGGTTTCATACTTCAGAGATAAGTCAGCTGCACATTTTTGTATATAGTCCATAGAGTGGTCCGTCAAACTACTACCATACAAAAATCCAAAATTTTCATTAATTTCTGACATATTTTCCTTTACTCTGTAAGAATTCGATCATAAACTTCAAAAATATCTTTTTTAAATTCATTTTGTTGAGATAAAACTTGCACATTATCTTCAATTAACTCGAATTCTAATCTTTTCACTTTCCTTATTCGCTTATCAGAAAAATTTGCTTTAATACTGAGATCATTTGCAATCACTTTACCGAATTCAATTGTCTTTTCAATTCCTTCATTTCGCATTGCTTGTATAGATAAGATTAAACCTTTAACCATTTTGGTTGCGCTATCAATCGTTAAACTTTTCTTTTGTAAAGCTAAATTAACGCGATTAATTGTTGTTAATATTTCATTCCATAAATCCAGTAGACAAAAAAAATTAAAATCAAGATGTTTCAAAAGATTTGTTGATCCAAGAATTACTTATTTAGGTAACTCTGAGTTTTCTGACATTTCTTTTAGAACATTATATACATTTTTTAAATTACGTTTAAGTGCTGATACAGAATCTTGTTTTGCAGACCACCGCGTGGCACTAGTACATTTTAATGAAATATAAATACATTTCATTAAAGTTGTCCATATGCTTGTTGAGGATGAAAAAAAGTTAAAAATTTGTTGGACAATGTCAAAGAACGTTATCATACGTACACATACTTTGGCGGCGTCATTGCCAACTAAATTCAAGCTGTAGCGAGCTGTGACTTTGTTAAAATATTATAAATAACCTGGACAAGAACTCTATATATATAATAGTTGAGGGAGGCCTACAAAGCGCCTATTCATTATGATAAATTGCGCGTGGCCTCGAAACGTATATGTTCATAGATATATAACTACTTATATGAATATTATTAAAATAGTTCACACTAAAAGTGTTGTGTTGCCTCTGTAGAGATGACAACGACCAGATAAGCAAGGGACATCCGGCGTGTGCAGCGCGTGGCCGCCCACGGTATGACCTTATATGGTAAAGTAGTAGGATTATAGGCAGGGATATGATCCAAGGATCACCATTATAAAAACGTCGCATGAATAGGCTTCGGTAGACGGACCAGCGACACCGAACTAGGCGAACTAACATCAACGAAGAGCTAGGAGCTAGGACACTAAAGTCACATCTCGCTAGTCTTCATTATTTTAAATAGTCATTTGGACTTAGTAAATTTATTGTGTTTTGTGTTAATTAAATAAAAAGTATTCAATTTATAAAGAAAAGTCAAACTCTTGTTCATTTATTTCCAACACCATCAAACGAGCGTAGTCAGATTGTTACAATTGGCGCTGTGGACAGGGTTTGCAAAAAGAAGAAAATTTTGGAAACGAATATTTTTTTTGAATTATTTCAAAATATTCTAACAAAATTAATTCGAGGAGGCAATTCAATCAAATTGGATCATCGTTGGAAGTCTGATCAACTATCAACAACTCCGCAACAGAATCCTGTCAGCAACATCGATTACGTTCCAAGTCAAATTACATGGAGGTACCAACTACACATACCATGAATTTTGTTGATGAGTCTAATAATCGGAAGGCGATATAAAACATTATGAATCCTTCCTTGTTTGGAATGTCAAAGGTTTTAAGGGCACCAATATTTTCCTTGAAAGTATCCAAAAATGTTTTTAAATCGTTCAATGAGGCAGATTTCAGAGGCTGGAAATTGAATATTTTATCCAGGTGAGCATTTACGATAAGTCGTGGATTGTCAAATCGTTCCTCGAGAGCCTTCCAAGCAACCAGGTAATTGGGGTCCGATAATGGTATAGACCGAATGACAGTGCTAGCGCTACCAGTAACTGCAGAGTGTAAATAGTGAAACCTCTCAATATTAGATAAACTGTCATTACTGTGAACTAAAGACTTGAACGTATCTCGGAATGGTATCCACAGTAGAATATCACCATCAAAGGATGGGATTTGTATTTTGGGCAATTGGATATGTGAACTCTCATGGACAGCAGATGCATTTGAAGACGACGGCAGAGGGTCAGCATGACAAGCGTCCGAAATCGCCATAATTGAATAATATTGTTCGGAGAGAGTATTGGCAAGTGGAACGTGAATTTTGTAATACTCATCTTCCCGCTGGAGTTGCAACAATAAATCAAAAATACTGTCTTGCTCAAGCAAGAATTGAGCACGAAAGGTATCAATATCCCTTTTTCGTGCACGAAATAACGGAAGAATGTCTTCATTATTTTCGACCTTTTGCGCTAAATCATGAAGAAGTGTAATTTGAGCGAGTATAGCGTCGCGCTTCGCAATTGTGCGTTTGAGTATGCGTTCCGCACGTTCAATTTCCGAATTCGATGGAGGCATTGTTAACTAGTATCAATTCGTGAACTGACAGTACTCACACAATCGAAACAGAAGCTTTATTGGCAATCCACATCCGGCCCGAAGGACCAAATGTACGCGTAAGAATCCTGTATTTGAATAACTTAACAGGAATATCTCAACTGCGATGGGCCGAGGTATGATGAGGACAACCAATAAGATAGAACAGAGTAAGAATGATGTATGGTAATAGTGAGTAGTAGGGAAATGTATGTTCTGTAGCCGCCACCGGCACCGGCACCGCTCTGTCTATTCCACCGCCACCGCCACCGGCACCTCTCTTCTTCACCGCCACCGCCACCTCTCCTCTTCACCACCACCACCACCGCCACCCGCCCAGCCATATACCACTGACACTACTCCCCGCCAAACCAAAAAGATCAGGCCGCCGTCCTACTACTCACCTCCCAACCATATATCACCACCACTACTCTCAGCCCAGCCATAGATCGTATATATCTGTATGGAAATGTTTATTAAGCATAATGTCTTGATGGATGTTTTCTCACACACTTGAATATAT